CTCGAACAAGCCCACCGATCATCTCCTCTATCTCGACGCCAACAACCTGTACGGCTGGGCTATGAGTCAGTCTCTACCTACTGGCGGATTCGAAAGGGTTAATAGCGAGCGTTTTAATCCAAAGAACACTATGGAAACGCGTTAACGTGAAACTCGTGGGGATGAACATCCTTGACTTATCCAAACATCTCATGTACATTTCTATTACAACCGACTCAAGAAGCAACACGGTGATCAATGTGAGCTGCTGTACACGGACACGGATTCCTTGTTGTTGAATATACGTACTGAGGACGTGTACGAGGACATGGCAAAACACATCGATTTGTACGACACCAGTGATTACCCCCCAGACCACGACCTACACAGCACAACCAATACAAAGGTCCTCGGCAAAATGAAGGACGAGTGCGCTGGCACACCCATCGCCGAATACGTCGGACTAAGACCTAAGATGTATTCCATCCTGAAAGCCAACAACGGCGAGATCCGAAAGGCGAAAGGCGCCAAGAAATACGTGGTGAAACAACGCATCAAACACGCCCTCTTCAAACTCTGTTCAAGAATAAAACGTTCAAACACCGAATGAAGGAAACTCCACTCGGTATGTCGAGGTCCAGTCAGTGGTTGCTGAAAAAATGGGTTGCCCTAGCATCTGGGATGGCGAGCTCGGCTGTGCTTTGAATGATGTCTCTACCAAAAAATCATCAATATATACTTGGTGCTAGGAGCGGAATTACGTAGAAATAAGCCTATAAGAGGAAGTGGTCCAGAACCCCCATTATATAACTACTTCAGCTCATGCATCATGCTTACTTTCCACTTTCCCAAAGATGTTTGGATTTTACAGACCAACCCCAGTGTCCAGGAACTAAAGTCTTGTTCCCAGAGCACTTGAAAGCTAAAACCCACATCTGCTACCACAAATAATTTTCCAAGCGATTCTCAACCCATGCCTGCCTTGGTACCCTGTATACAATATGAACAAACCAACACTGAATGTTACTGTTTTATTGTCAAAACGTACAATACATAATATTGGTGGTGGCAACTATAGGTGTACACTTATATACTTAAGTACATGTTGGATCTCGAGTAACATATTCTAACAGTCCTTTTATAGCTATTTTTGTAGTTGTTTGTGGTTTAACTCCACAATATTGCAATGGTATAATGGCATTGTGTCCAAAATAAAGCTTGATCAAACAATCCCGTGAGTGACCTGTTTCACTTAAGTGGGAAATGGTGATATGCCATTAAACAAGTCACTGTGAAGGCCAAATCCCTATCATTTCTTCTATGCATAGTGTGTGTTGGGGATGTAGACTCTTAGGTCATCATTTTCTTTATATGTGTTTTCACGAAGCCACCAAATTCTGAACACGGGTCTGTCGGCCAGGGTAAAAAACACACACAAAACCCCCAAAACCAACCTTAATAAAGACAAAATTATCTGAATAATGTTCTTGATTCACATTTATTGTAACACATTTTCTCGCGTTCTTTGGATTTGTGGCAGAGACTGATTAAAAGATAAACATTTTTTATGATGAGGCGGTATGTCATCGCTGTTGGAATGAAAAAAAAAGAAGTTTTTTTTCATTTGTGAGAGAGAGAGAGAGAGAGAGAGAGAGAGAGAGAGAGAGAGAGAGAGAGAGAGAGAGAGAGAGAGAGAGAGAGAGAGAGAGAGAGAGAGAGAGAGAGTGCGCGTGGTTTTTCAATATAAAATTGAAGTCTCGGTTGGGCGATGAGACACAGTTAATATAGTTGCTGCCCTTACTTACACTTCAGTATCTGTCCTAGGTAGGTAAGTATGGTACAAATTATGATACACCTTGGTCAAAAAGGTTTCAATCAGTGCAACAAAATTCAATTGAGTAATCTTTTTTGCAGACATGTGGAGGACATTTCCAAAATGGACACAAATGATTCTTTATTTTCACCTGGACATGTTTGATCAGAAAACACTTGACTTGCCTGTGCATGCGTTTGTGATGGGAGTCACCAATGGAGCAGAAAACATCTGTTTGCATATCTGTTGTCCACATAATGATAATAATAATAATGGCCATTTATACCGCGCCTTTTCCACAAACTCGTGCATGCTCAAAGTGCTAACACATTATTACCCCGGATAACCCTAGCTCCCTGAGAGGCGCTAGAAGGTTATAGTCACATGACTTGTCCCATCTGGTACCCACTTTCTGCTAAGTGAACAGGGCAAGTTTGAACAAACTCACTTGCCCAAGGTGAGACCACATGTGTCACATGTGCTTCGTTGTGGGGCAGGACCGAAGTCCTAGAAACTCTCAGGAGTCAAGCTGCCAAAATCGGTCACCCATCCAAGGACTCTCCGCGCTCAGCGTTGCTTAACTTCAACTGATTTGTGACCCGAGTTCTATGCACAGGACCACACACCACCATGTGTATGGCCCTGTATCCACATAACCATCAGCTGTCTACAGCATAACCATAGTCTGGATACATAACCCTTGTCAACATAACCCCCATCAGCATACCCGTCCCTTTAATGTGTATAAACATATGTGACAAGGTTGCAACTAGTTACCAGAAAGCATCCACTGGCTGGCGAAATAATCATGAGGAGCATATATGCAAGATATACAGATGTATAGATGCAAGATACATGGATGTATATATTCAAGATAGATAGATATACAAGCAACAATAGATACATCAACAGGGTCAAGAAATTACGTTCAACACAAGACCATTCCCAAACTGTAAAAAGTACATACAAAAGGCACATCATGCTCGATTCTTTACAATTTGCATTGATTGCACTGCAGAGACTCTACAACAACCCTGAGTATTGTATCACAAGATCACATGTACAAGTGTAAAATAACATGCTAGTCCTCATGGTTTAGCATTGATTTTTAACAGGTTTATTTTCAGGCTTTTCTGAAACCTGGCCCCGATTTCTCGAAACAAACTTAAGTCTGAGTTTTGACTTAAGCTCAAATTTTTACTCAAATTTGAGAAAACGCATTTCCCATTGTTGAACTGAAATCGATATCAAACTCAAACATAGTAGACAATTTGACTTCGGTGAATAGAATACTTAAGTTGTTTGGGCTTTTTTATTTTAAAAATGCAGCTGAGTTAAAAGTTCAGCTGTTTCAAATTGTCAAACTCAGTTTGATATTTGAGTATAAACTTGAGTTTGTTTCGAGAATCGGTGCCTGGTCCATGTACCCCATCAAAAAAGTTGACTGTTAAACAAATACTCAAAAGGAGAGTTTGTTTAAAGACTGCTGATCAGAAAACTTGAACTGTTAAAAAAACACACTCCCCATTCACTGTCACTATCAGTGTAATAAGGAAATAATAGGAAGTACAAATAAATTATGTCAAAAAAGTATCTTCACTTAAATAAAAACACAACTACTTATGATGAAACTATCAGAAACTGATTTTCTTTATTCATCATTTTTTAAACAAACATCCATGACACGCCAAACCACCCTTAAAAAGCATAGTCTAAATCGTCAAAGAAGTTAGTAACAAAGTTTTTAGTTTAATATTCAAGGTAATCCAGGTAATTTTCCAGGACACACAAGTGGAATAATGAGTTTATGTATGCCGCTAAAAAGCTTGAAAAGTGGTGAAAGATTCCAGTTCTATCACAGCATGTTAGCTTGATGTGAGAGGAAAGCTCAAAATGATACAGTCTCAGACACATTCCAGGGTATGGCACTGACATACTAAAAGACATCACAGAAAACTGGGCTTCAAGCCCCAATTCAACAGTTCCTTGGGATGCTTTGATGATGCAGCTCAAAACAGCAAATTTCTGCATCTTAGAGTGAGTGAGTGAGTTATATCACTGACTGACTGAGTTTGGTTTTACGCCGCTTTTAGCAATATTCCAGCAACATCATGGCGGGAGATACCAGAAATAGGCTTCACACATTGTACCCATGTGGGGATTCGAACCCGGGCCTTCGGCGTGATGAGCCAACGCTTTAACCATTAGGCTACCCTACCACCCTGTGAGTTATATCAAGGCGGGGGACTATGGAAATGGGCTTCACACATTGTACCCATGTGGGGGAATTGAACCTAGATCTTCGGGGTGACGAGCGAATGCTTAACCACTAGGTTACCCCACCGCCCCTTAGAGTGAGTGAGTGAGTTAAGTTTTACGACGCTTTTAGCAATATTCAAGCAATATCACAGCAGGGGACACCAGAAATGGGTTTCACACATTGTACCCAAGTGGGAATTGAACCCGGGTTCTCGGCTTGATGAGCACATGCTTAACCACTAGGCTACCCCAACGCCCCTTAGAGTGAGTGAGTGAGTGAGTGAGTTAAGTTTTACGCCGCTTTTAGCAATATTCCAGCAATATCACAGCAGGGGACACCAGAAATGGGTTTCACACATTGTACCCATGTGGGAATTGAACCCGGGTTCTCGGCTTGATGAGCACATGCTTAACCACTAGGCTACCCCACTGCCCCTGTGCATCCTTGATCACTAAGCTGTATATAGATGTTGTCATGACATAACGTAACACTTCAATAGCAGGGCTGTAACGATAAATTCACTTATTCTGTGAATCAAATCGTATCTTTTCATGAGTTCAGTTCATTGTTCATGGTTACAAAATCAACTATTTTTTTGTTTTAAAAAGGAGTGTTTTATTTCAATTTGGGTGTTATTTACCTAACCATGATATGCAAAATGGCACATATCCAAACAGGTAGGATAATAGTCAACACTCTTATACATATACTGAGCGACAAAAATAAGGGATCACATGAAAGCACAAGTGTTCCTTTTTTTGTTTCCAGGTTTCTTTACAAGCTATGCTATACAACACTTGTGAAGAAACCTGGAAAAAAAATAAAGGAACACTTGCGCGTTCATGTGATCTCTTATTTTTTCCCTCAGTATATAAGATGTCAGCAATGTGGTCACTAGGCACTGTGAGAAATTAACACTGTTAACCTGGTCGAACTATGTAAATTGTGTTTGCCATATATTACTGTAGATAAGCCTAGGTCCTAACTTGACCCTTAAAATCTGTATCAAAATGGTATGTCTCGAACATAAGCCGACCCCCTTTGTCGGCTACTGGTACCCAACTCGACTAATCGGTATTTATTTATTGTTTCACTAAATATTAAACATAATACATCAGCTGTTGACTTGTCATCGTATTCAAGAATAAATATTGATAATCGTTACCCTATAATCATGATTGTATTTGTCTCCTAGTGTATTTGTTGCAGCCCTTTTAAATAAAGTAAAATATCAAACTAGGCAATAAACCTCAAGCTGTCATTTCATGGCTCAAAAAATCATTTGTAAATAGGAGTAGAATTCCACAAGCATTTCTCAAAGAAACCAGAGATGAGAATACTTTTATAAAAATCTGAACACAAAAACAGACTTAAGCAAAAACCACAAAAATCATTTAATGTTGTTTCATATGTTCGAATGTAAAATCAAGGATTCAATGGACATTGTACCTATTACGATAAATATGTATTAGTTTGATATGTTGAAAATTATGTACAACAAAATATTGTACAAATAGAGTTCATACACACACATCATTCCACATATGCAAATAAACAAACACACAGACACACACACATGCACACACACACACACAATCGTCTTCCCTCCTGGAATGGTATGTACAATATTGATCTGTGGCATAATCTGCAGAGTCATCAATTCAGCTTCATTATCCCAAACGCAACATAAACATGTTAAAACCAAAAATCCAAAATTAACAAATTTTCAAGAAATGGTATGCTTAAATAAATAACAAAACAAACTATCAAAACATTGATTAGGTTATTTCCAAACACAGAACATGGTTAATGTATAATTCTACAGATTGATATTTTCAAGGAAATGTTTCACATATTTTGATAAAATAAACAGAAACAGTTTTTACAAATGTGAAACCTACACTGATGGATGATGGAGCTAAAGTGACAACCAAAAATGGATTAAAAGCAAAATCTTGTCTCGTCCGTCTTGTTACATTCCAAGCGGATGCTGTTGAAAGAGGCCTCCATTGCCAACAACATCTTGTGAGATCTGGGCCAGACTGTCAAAGTTCTGCTTTGACTGTTTGTTACTGCAAGATGCCAAATTGGTCTTGATTCTTTCTGCAGCCTGCAACAGAAAATTACTGGTAAATGAAGCTAATGCATTACATAATAATGTGCATATCTATATTACGAAAAATTCATCAAAGTATGTTTGAAGAGCTACTATCAACCCTGTCAAAGGATCAGTGTGCACTCAATGTTCATTCTCAACATCCTTGGGAATATACAACCCAAGCTCCCTACCAGGTACCCATTTACTGCTAGGTAACCAGATTCCGACCAAAGTCACTTGCCTACTGAAACACCACGTTTGGTGCTTCATAGTGGGGCGGCCCGTGAAGATCCAGGTTAGAACTGATCTTCAGCAACCCATGCTTGCCATAAGAGGTGGCTAATGGGATCGGTGGTCAGGCTCTCTGATTTGGTTGACAAATGTCATTGTATCCCAATTGTGTAGATCGATACTCATGCTGTTGATCACTGGATTGTCTGGTCCAGACTTGATTATTTACAGACCGCCGCCATATAGCTGGAATATTGCGGAAAACTAAACTCACTCACTCATACTGGGGCATCCATGCAACTGCTCTCAGTGACCAGGTTTGCTTAACTTAACCTGATTTGTGCCCTGTGAACCTTGTGACCTGAACACAAGACCTGATGAATGCCAGATAAACAAACACACGAACCACTAAGCTACCTCATCACCCCTTCTGGTCTGAACAAATGAGGAGTGATTTTAGTTTTATGCCGCCTTTAGCAATCTTCCAGCAATATCACGGCAGGGGACTCCAGAAATGGGCTTCACACATTGTACCCATGTGGGGAATCGAACCCGGGTCTTTGGCGTGACGAGCGAACGCTTTAACCACACAGCTACCCCACCACCCTGAACAAATTAGGATGAATGTTCTTGAAAGAATAAAACATTTACTGAATATCAATGCCTGTTTGAGTCATATAGTTCTAATACTCAACTCTCAATGATTTTGTTAATGTTTTTGTTTAATATTCTTGTAAACAATCAAATCTGAACCGGTGATTGATATCAGGAACAACAATCAACACGATGATATGTGTCAACAAAATCAGCAAACCTGATCATCCGATCCCGTTAGTCGCCCCTCATGACAAGCATGGGTTACTGAAGGGTGAGTTGACGAGATTAGTTTTACGCTGCACTCAGCAATATTCCAGCTATATGGCAGCGATCTGTCAATGATCGAGTCTGGACCAGACAAGCCAGTGATCAACATCATGAGCACTGATCTATGCAACTGGGATATGATGACATGTGTCAACCAAGTCAGCAAACCTGACCACCCGATCCCGTTAGTCACCTCTTACAACAAGCATGTGTTGCTGAACACCAATTATACGAGTTACGATCATCTTAGCAGTGCGATTGCTTTGAGGAACAGGGCCCAGGACCCAAACTCTGACATAGTCATAGTGGTACACCACTGATACATCCAGCAGTAGTTTTAACACCGACAACCCAGTCACAGTACAGACTTTGACCCAACCTTGTTTAATCCCAAAAATGCCGATCACCAGGCAGGGTAAAAACAGTACAATCTTTTAGCATCATTGGTACGACAAGGACGGATCAAACCCAGACCCTTCTGCCTCAGTCAGACACTGTCCACTTCACTGAAGTCAGTCAGCCTTAATGTAAGTGGGGCAGTGGGGTAGCCTAGTGGTTAAAGCGTTCGCTCATCATGCTGAAGACCCGGGTTCGATTCCCCACATGGGTACAATGTGTGAAACCCATTTCTGGTGTCCCCCGCAGTGATATTGCTAAAAGTGGCGTAAACTAAACTCACTCACTCACTAGCTTAATGTAAGTAGGAGAAATCAGCCAGACAAAGATGGAATCAGAAAATCATCAAGTCTTACCTCATCACAGAAAACATTCACGATAAGTTTCTCATGTTAGGCGGACTGGTGATGCTCAGTAAGGCTTCGTGAGGCTCGGGACAGTGACGACACCATGCCGTAGATGTCAATGGCAGAGTCTGCAATCCTCTTCAGGACAAACTGTTCATCTGGAACAATGAACAAGAACTTCTGTTTCATTTGTTGTTCAATGCCGACCTCATCCATATTCCAACTTTATGAAGGCATCTTGTAAACCATCAAGTCTAACTTATGAAGACCAATTCTGATGCTAGATTCTCTGGATAAATTGACAAATGACGCATCAATATGTACACGTGAGTATTAATCAAAACACTGTGTGAACACGTGCTTTGCATGAGTATTAATCAAAACACTGTGTGCACACATGCTTTGCATGTGTATTCCAGTATGCAGGGGTGTGATTCCCTGTCAGGACCAAAATTGTTAAAACTGTCCTTGGATTTATTTGGTGCTTAATTAATGCTGATGTATATATATCGGCACAGAAAGGCACCCACTGATCACCATTCTGAAGAATACAACTCCATACCTATAATTTGTTTGTTGAACTTTATGAGCACATCTTCAACTGTTCCTCCAAACTCTTCAATTGCTTTGGCAGTCTGAAAAAAAAGACACAACAATGCATTCAAAAAGGCCTTGTTTCTAATGACTTGGTTCCAAGATTGCCTTAAAAAGTTGCTGAGAATGTTGTGTTGTGTCTTGTAGTTTCATGGTAACTCTAGCCGATGTGTCTTGTAGTGTCATGCCAATAGTAGCCATTGTTTTATCATACTGTCATGGTAACAGTAGCCTCTCTCTTGTACTGTCATGGTAACAGTAGCCATTGTCTTTCATTGCCATGGTAACAGTAGCCACTATGTCTTGTATTGTCATGGTAACAGTTACCACTGTCTGGTATTGTCATGAAAACAGTAGCCACTGTGTCCTGTACTGTCATGGTAATAGTAACCTTTGTGTCTTATACTGTCATGGAAACCGTAGCCCTTGTTTTCCATTGTCATGGTAACAGCAGCTATTGTTTCTTGTACTGTCATGGTAACCGTAGCCATTGTCTTCCATTGTCATGGCAACAGCAGCCATTGTTTCTTGTACTGTCATGGTAACCGTAGCAATTGTCTTCTGTTGTCATGTATGATCATGGTAACAGTAGCCACTGTGTCTTATAATGTTATAACAGAAGCCATTGTTTTTGTATGATCATGGTAACAGTAGCCACTGTGTCTTATAATGTTATAACAGAAGCCATTGTTTCTTGTATGATCATGGTAACAGTAGCCACTGTGTCTTATAATGTTATAACAGAAGCCATTGTTTCTTGTATGATCATGGTAACAGTAGCCACTGTGTCTTATAATGTTATAACAGAAGCCATTGTTTCTTGTATGATCATGGTAACAGTAGCCACTGTGTCTTATAATGTTATGATAACAGAAGCCATTGTTTCTTGTATGATCATGGTAACAGTAGCCACTGTGTCTTATACAGTCATAACAAGAGGACAAAGTCATCAATATCCCCCGCAATGGCAAAATACTCTTCATGATTATGTCTACGAGTTATGATTATGTCAAATATTTAGGTGTGAATATAGAAAAGTGGAAGGAGAGTATTGAAAGGTTTTGAAAGTTTCTGCTCCAGAAAGGAGCACTATCACCAATTTCAGTCTAAGTCGAACTTGTTGCCATGGAAACACCAAAAATATTTTATTCAGAATGCCAAAACTACCAAAAGGCACCAGTACACCACCAGATGTATCTATGTGCCAAGTTTGATGAAGAAATATTGAATGGTTTTAGAGTTCTGCTCCGGAAAAGAGCACTACCACCAATTTCAGTCAAAGTCGAACTTGTTGCCATGAAAACGCCAAAAATATTTTATTCAGAATTCCAAAACTACCAAAAGGCACCAGTACACCACCAGATGTATCTATGTGCCAAGTTTGATGAAGAAATATTTAACGGTTTTAGAGTTCTGATCCGGAAAAGAGCACTATCACCAATTTCAGTCAAAGTCGAACTTGTTGCCATGAAAACACCAAAAATATTTTATTCAGAATTCTAAAACTTTTAAAAGGCACCAGTGCACCACCAGATCTATCTATGTTCCAAGTTTGGTGAAGAAATATTTAATGGTTTTAGAGTTCTGCTCCGGAAACGAGCACAACCACCAATTTCAGTCAAAGTCGAACTTGTTGCCATGGAAACGCCAAAAAATATTTTATTCAGAATTCCAAAACTACCAAAAGGCACCAGTACACCACCAGATCTATGTATGTGCCAAGTTTGGTGATGAAATAGTGAACGGTTTTAGAGTTCAGCTCCGGAAAAGAGCACTACCACTAATTTCAGTTTTAGTCAAACTTGTTGCCATGGAAACACCAAAAATATTTTATTCAGAATTCCAAAACTACCAAAAGGCACCAGTACACCACCAGATCTATCTATGTGCCAAGTTTGGTGAAGAAATGATGAATGGTTTTAGAGTTCAGCTCCGGAAAAGAGCACAACCACCAATTTCAGTCTAAGTCAAACTTGTTGCCATGGAAACGCCAAAATTTTTTTTTCAGAAATCCCAAACTACCAAAAGGCACCAGTTCACCACCAGATCTATCTATGTGCCAAGTTTGGTGAAGAAACATTGAAGGGTTCTAGAGTTATGCTCCGGAAAAGACAAATGTGCACGGACGGACGCACGGACGGAGTCCATTTTAATACGCTTTGCGGGGGATAATAACAGCAGCCATTGTTTCTTGTATGATCATGTTAACAATAGCCATTGTGTCTTATAATGTCATGGTAATAGCAGCTGTTGTTTCTTGTATGATCATGGTAACAGTAGCCACTGTGTCTTGTGCTGTGATGGTAACAGCAGCCATTGTTTCTTGTATGATCATGGTAACAGTAGCCACTGTGTCTTATAATGTCATGGTAATAGCAGCCATTGTTTCCTGTATTGTCATAGTAACAGTAGCCAATGTCTCTTTTACTGTCATGTAACAGTAGCAGCTGTTTGTTATCATATATGCAACTTGTTATGAACTTGCTAACATCTGACCAAGGACTCACCTTATTCCCTGCATCCTGCAGCTCGGGGTGGACAAACTCACTGAGGGACTGACCAGAGCCCATGCCTACCATTCTGAAGGAGGAAAAATTCAATTCTCATGAAATGTGTATAATTTCAAATACATTCGGTCATTTGTGTTGCATTTTGACAGCGTCAGCAGTATTCCAGCTGTATCTTTTATGGATGTAATTAACCAGGCGTTGGGCTGGTTACTGAAAGAATGTATTGCACCCTATCCCTTTATGCATGATGTCAAGCATTTGGAGAGTCACAGAGGGTGATTACTGGATCAACATTCAATAGCCAAAGGGCATGTCAAGCATTGTCCTACAGTCTAAATGGTGATGATGTAATGTCCATCACTGTTTGCCCCTAATGTTATGTATTCGCATAAGGATTTCCCACTACCAATGTCTTTTCCATTTTCCAAAGCCATGGTATCTGTGAGGCAGGGAATGTGTTTTCTTCGATCAGCTTGAAAAAATACATTGTCTGGACTTTGCGGCTCCATTTTGTTTGATTTGTTGTTTAATGTCGCACTCAGCAATATTCCAGCTATGTGGCAGCAGTATGTAAATAATTGAGTCTGGACATACAATCCAGTGATCAACATCATGAGCATGGATCAACAAAACTGGGATACGATGACATGTGTCAGCGAGTCTGACAACCCGATCCCGTTAGTTGCTGTTTATGGTAAGCATGGATTGCCAGTGCCCAATTTTAACCCCGCCATTTTGTTTGAACTGAATGCAAGTGATATGAAGGAGGAAATTGACTGGTAACAGGAGTGACACAGGCATAAAATTCATAACAACCACTGGTGGCGCTACGGCAGAGCCTTGAAATTCCAGCGTAATTTGGGAAACACGGAAACTGGACTTGTGTCGTCAGTTAACTCCCTTGCCTCAGAAACATGCAGGGTTACCTCTTGGCTCTCTTGGACCCCATGTTCAAGAGTACTCCAACATTAGCTGCCGGATTCTTCAGTGCTTTCTGTACCTCCTTCAGCTGACCTCCGGCATACTGAAGGTCAAGGTTAAAGGTCAAGGTCAAAGGTCAAGGTCACACTTCATCGGAATGATATCTAGGTCAGTCAGCCAATCATAACAGTCATCTTTAAGGTGCAATGCAAGCAGTGGAACAGGACCATTATTAACTGTTTGTACAGAATTCTACTTATCCAGCTTATATTTGTCTACTATTCAGCTATTCCACCAATCCACCTTTGTTGGTCCACTATTTAAAAATTCCCCTAGTGCACCATTGCCTAAATTCAGGAATTCAGGTTATCAATCTTAGATGATCCACACATCCAGGGTGCTACTCATTAAATGTGTGTAACACGTTATACTTGGGATTACACTTTGTCAATAAAGAACAGATTCTAGTACTTTTGTTGGGTTGAGTCCAATGCAGGATTCAACCCTTAGAATGAGGCACCTAATCGCCAGCACACAAAGTCAGCTGTCTAACCCACTCAGTCACCGCAACTTCCACAATACTGCAAGAAGCCAACAAAAGTATCTGTACTTTAATGAGAAAGTGTAATCTCAAATATAACATATTACATTTTACCACTTCCTAAATGGCATTGTATATTCAATAAATGTGTGATTTTACCATTTCCATCACAACATGTGATTAAACCAGCCCATTGTCCTGAAACATGTGTGAGTGAATTTAGTTTTATGCCACACTCAGCAATATTCCAGCTATGTGGCGGCGGTCTGTAAATAATCAAATCTGGATCTGACAATCTAGTGATCAGCAGCATGAGGATCGATCTATGCAATTGGGAACCGATGAAATGCGGCAACCCAGTCAGCAAGCCTGACCACCCGATCCCGTTAGTCACCTCTTCCGACAAGCATGGGTTACTGAAGATAAATTATAACCCAGATCTTAACGGGTGTCATTGAAACATGACTGCGTCTTATGGAAAAGACAGAACTGCAAGCTATATGAAAGAGGATGAGTACGCTGGGGACGTTTGATCAAGTCACACTGGACTAGGTAGTTGTGGTAGTTTTAAAGCTATGGTCTATGTTGGACATCTTGGTGATGACTGGGATGTGTTGGGGTGAAGTGTTTTGGAAGCTGTAAACCTGTTCTAGGATAGGTCAGGTGAGTGGCTGCAGCTGCACAACACATAACGTCTGTCTCACAGCTGCAAGAAAGTCGCTGTGAGACCCTCACCTGAATTCCTGTCAGTGATACGAAGAGACGAAGGATGTCATTAGTTCCCTCGAAGATGCGGAAGATACGAAGGTCTCGCATCACTCTCTCTAGCCCGCAGTCCTGAAACATATATATTTCTCAGGAGACTGCAGGTAAAGAAATGAAATGTTGTTATGAATAAATCCAGTCACAATATCTCAAACATTTCCTGCACTGTTGGTGATAATGTGGGTTACAAAAGGCCATGCATGGTCTTCCTGGTATACTGCAATATGCTTTTCAAATGATACTTGAAATTGTTCTAAGTGTTATGCAGAGTATGTAATTTTTTGAATAAAATTGATAGTTTATACTTATCCTGACTCATGCTTCACAAATTCACAAATGCTTCCCTTTGTAAATGTCAGAATAAATGGCAAAAACTCAGAGCAATTTTTCACCAAAAGTGAGTTTTATGCCGCTTTTAGTAAAATTCCAGCAATATCATGGCGAGGGACACTAGAAATGGGCTTCACATATTGTACCCATGTGGGGAATCGAACCTGGGTCTTTGGCGTAACGAGTGAATGCTTTAACCACTAGGCTACCCACCGCTCCAAAAGACATGGTGACCTTGACATTGACATTGTAACATTTACTTTGGCATACCTGCAGCAGACAGGATCTACATGTAAAATTGGTGCCGATCACTGTCAAACACTTTAGCTCAAAATATATTGGAATGCGTATCGTCATATTTAAAATGTATCACCAATTTTTGGTCAATACATAGCTCCAGCCATCGTCAGATCTCTTCCTTAGTGGTGATCATCATGACTGTTTTCTTACCCTCATAAATCCCATTCCTCCCAGGACTTGTATAGCTTCATCTGCACAGAACCACGCCCCTTCCTGAAACAGTTGTCATGGTTACAAATGTCATGGTTACAAGTATTCTTTATTATCAGTGATTTGGTCCCATTAGTTTTTTCTACAAGTGAAAGACGATTTGATACCAAACTTCCTGTATATACAGATAGAATGTATGTATACGTACGGAGGCAAAAATCTTGCTGATGGCAGCCTCAATCTGAAACTCTGTGGAACCCTGGTCCATGTTTGCAGACACCATGTATGCCATTGACTGTGGAACAAACAAACATACATATCACAAGGAACATCACTGTATATCTTTTGTTTGGTTACGTTTATTTAACACTGCACTCAGCATTATTCCAGCTATATGGAGGTCTGTAAATAATCGATCTTGATCAGACAATCCAGTGATCAACATCATGAGCATCGATCTATGCATTTGGGATACGATGACATGTGTCAACCAAGCCAGCGAGCCTGACCACCCCATTCCAAGGAGTCGCCTCTTACGACAAGCATGAAGATCAATTCTAACCCGGATCTTCACGGGTACACTGTGTATCTATCTCTATAGATGAGAATTATAATTTTGATACTGCAATAGAGCTGGTTCTTGCTCACAATATGCAGATCGATAACTGGAGATAAGTAATTGATAAATAGAAGTCCCTACCCCATAAGATCCTACCGGGTACCCATTTTCAAGTCTCACCTCGGTGACATACTGCATCATGGTCATACGGGCAATCTTCTCCTGGATAGCTCCATACGAGTCGATCCTCTTGCCGAACTGAGTTCTCTGGGAGGCATGCTCCACCTGTAACCAACAGACAGAAGACACTGCATTAACACTGCATGCATTGATTGTGCGGGACCAAGTCCAACAAAGCCTCTGCAAAGCCTTATTCCCCAAATAAGGCTTTGATCGGCTCTTGCTATACTATACTACATCTGGCATGAGGCAGGAGAGCCAAGGTGATGCATGCATGGTAAAGTAACTGCAAGAAATTGCAAGTCTTTAATTATGTTACTTTGAATCCACAAGCTAGTTTTGTTTGCAGGGCATTGGCGAGGTGAGGTGAGGTGAGAGGTGAGGTGAGGTGAAATTGGGTTTAACGTGGTATTTCGCTCATAGTAACCCAGAAATGAAACTGGTTTCATAGTGCCAGCCCACTGAGATACTATGCCGCATTGAAGCATGAATACCCCACTCAGACACATTATACTGACTCCGAGCCGACCAGTCCTTGTTGTACCCATTAATGCCGAGTGCCAGGCAGGGACCAATAAGTACCATATTTTGACGTCTTCTGGTATGATGCGGTCGGGGATTGGCAACATTCAGGGAATGTTTTGTTTGTTTTCTACATGTCAGCACTCACCGCTTTGTGGATGCAGTATCTCATGGTGCCAGAGAGGGCTGCAGCCATCCCGAACCGCCCGTTGTTCAGGATGTTCATGGCGACCTTGAACCCTCCACCTTCACCTGTCAGACACAGATGAAGAGGCACATTCAGATACAGACACATTCAGACAGAAATAGATTCAGAAATGTTTAGACAAAGATTACGATGGATAGATTCAGAAAGGGACAGACAGACAATTCAATTCATAGATAGAGGAATAAACACAGATAGACACAGATTCAACCATGGATTCATCGACACAGAAACAGATACAGACACAGACAGACACAGATTCCGACAGATTCTAGCACAGATACATTCAGAAACAGACTCAGACACATGTCCAGACATTGATGCTGACCCAGATGGTTCAGATTCACACAGATTCCAACACAGATTCATATGCAGACCCAGGCAATGATTAAAATACAAACAGACACTGATTCAGACATTTAAAGACTCTGACCAGGACGGGTTAATTTCAACACGGACTGCAAGATTCTCAAATTCACCTGCACGATGTCGGGTTAAAATTTAGACATGTATATGAAGATATTCATCATATTTCAGGATAATAGATCATTATTAAACATAAATGATGAATCCCAATTAGATGATAAACTACATCGCTTGTCAAACCTAAATTATTTGCAGGCAGGTAAATTTTAGACAGGGCTGGCAAGTTTTACATCTAACCAAGTGGCAGAATGTTTTGGGATTTTCATACCCTGCTCTGACTCCAACACAGAAAGAGACACATGATCAAACTCAACAAACCCATCAAAGGTTATCTCCACAATACTTTCAAAGTAACAGGATGGTTGGTCCCCAACTCAGGATAGCACCAGTTACCATGGTTACAAGATTCAGCCGTCGTCATGACTTACCTCCCAGGACACAATCTGCTGGGACCTTGACATCCTCGAAGTAAACTTCAGCAGTGTTGGAGGCCTTGATGCCCATCTTCTTCTCCGGGGGGCCACTGAAACAAACAAACAGTCATCCATGCACAACATTAATTCTAACAAGCAAGTTATCCAATCAAACTTAAAAAGTTAGAACGTGAAGGTTGTAGTTAAAGATGACTGACTGACTGACTGACTGAGTTAGTCCAATTTTAGCAAACTCCAGCAAAAGGGGAACCAGAAATGGGCTTCACACATTGTACCCATGTGGGTCACGCTTTAACCACTACTAGGCTACCCCAATCCCAGTTTAAGATGAAGTTAAATGTCAAGAAAGAACATGACCAGTCAATTTTGCTCTGTAGTTGTTCAAACACAAATATTTTCAAGACTCACTTTGACCTTGACATGAATGTCATGGTAGTAATAAAGAAACTGCTTATCAAAAAATATATTCAAGAGAAGTATGCAAAAAGAAACCCAGTAATGTAATAAAGAAACTGCATGCTGAAATCTTCGGGTGTCGCGGTGACATTCAAGAGAAAATCGACTCTTGAAAGTCTATGAAGAAAACCCAGTGAATGATTCTTGAGGTATCACGCTGACAAGCTTAACATGCAGGTTAACATGCTGAAATCTTCTAAGTGTTGCTGTGACCTTGAAAATTAAGTGAAGGTCACCAGAATGAACTGGGCCCTGCTCCTGCCCTACATAAATCTAGGTGTCGAATATTAAGAAAATCCAGTGAACGTTTTTTGAGATATCACGCTGACAAGGGTAAAACGTTAAAGTCCCCTTGTGACCTTGAAATGATGGTCAAGGTCACCAAACCTGACTGGGACCTTTCTCATATTGTGATGAACCTAGGTACAAAATATTATTATAGGATATTTATATAGCGCACATATCCCGGCAACTAGTCCATGCTCAAGGCGCTGGTATTTTTTCCCTCGATCATTGGATGTCAATCTCAACGGCACATCATATTATCAATCTCAACTCCCTAGGGAGTATACAACTCTTGCAGCCACAAGGCGCACCGAGTTATTGTGGCTTTCTCATCCTAACGGGGTACCCATTCACAGCTTTGTGGACTGGGACACATAGTCACAGTACTTTGTCCAAGTTCACTGCACGTTGCATTAGCATAAGAAATATGAAAAGAATCTAGTCAACGGTTCTTCAGATATTCCAATTCGTACGGACGGGTGGAGCCAAATACTATATATACTATAAATACTGAAGAAAATATGAATACATTTGACAATTTAACCAGGCCTTTTTCTTCCAATTAAATTAACTGCGAATGATGCTTTTCAATAAAATTTGATGATTTTTTACTTTAAAGAGAGAAAAAAAAATCAGGATTAGTGCTCAAAATTAGGATTTGCCTGATGTGAATACAGATTCTGACATCAGTTCACAGAATTAGAAATAGACACCGATTCTGACAGATTCTAGGACAGACAGATTCAAAACGACACAAAGAAATATCATACAGTTTCTGAGTAATATTCCAGGAACAAACCTACCCTCATTTGAGAGTAAGTACAACTTGTTGCCATGGAAACACAATACAAAATCAGAAATTCTTGAATGCAAAGAAGCAACAGTACAACTTGACATCTGATAAAAGTTTCATTAAGAAATACTGGAGGCTTGCAAATTATGAACTGGAAATGAAAACCTGTTTGTAAGCCTGTTTCTACACAAAAATTTCGTAAAAAATCCCAGACACCCCCAGAATAAAACACTGTTAGTTCCTTAGGATCTATTTCCTGAAGTGACAGAAGATCCAAACCTAACAAAGTCTATGTTAAAACCTGTGAAGATCAGGGTTAGAATTGATCTTCAGCAACCCATGCTTGTCGTAAGAGGAGACTAATGGGATTGGGGTGTCAGGCTTGCTGACTTGGTTGACATATGTCATCATATCCCAATTGTATAGATCAATGCTCATGCTGTTTATCACTGGATTGTTTGGTCCAGAGTCGATTATTAACAGACTGCTGCCATATAGCTGTAATATTGCTAAGTGAGGCATAAAACTATAATTCACTCACTATGTCAAAATAGTCCAACCAGCTGCTTAGTGAAACAAGACCAAGGACCATTCTTCTAGACTTGGGATGATGGGGTAGCCTAGTGGTTAGAGCATTCGCTTATCATGCCAAAGACCCGGGTTTGATTCCCACATGGGTACAATGTGTGAAGATCATCTCTGGTGTTCCCGCTGTGATATTGCTGGAATATTGCTAAAAAATAAACTCACTCACTGCTCTTGTAGACTTACTTTGACACCCCACCAAAGCTCCTCTCCACAATGAATGCAGTGACCTTGTCCTTGGTAACGCCTGTCTTAGGGTCTGTCACAGGAGTCTGAAGGTCAAGTGAAGGTCATTATATCACTATATCGTCATGGACAAGTAAGAAAGAGTTGACCCGAGTTGAGTTGATTCAGGTTCATGCAGCAACACTTATCCAGAAAGAATAACTAATGATCCGCTACAGTTGATTTATGACTGACTGAGTTTGGTTTTAGGCTTTTAGCAATATTCCAGCAACATCACGGGGGGACAATTATGGGCTTCACACTTGTACACATGTGGGGATTCGAACCCGGTCTTCATGACGATCCAACGCTTTAATTACTACAGCTGATTATGAGTAAAAGTTGGTTGGTTTGTTGTTTAATGCCACACTCAGCAATATTCCAGCTATATGGCAGCAGCCTGTATATAATCGAGTCTGGACCAGACAATCCAGTGATCAACAGCATGAGCATGGATCTACACCACTGGGATACGACGACATGTGTCAACCCAGTCAGCGAGCCTGACCACCCGATATCATTAGTCTCTCTTTTCGACAAGAATAGGTTGCTGAAGATCAATTGTAACCCAGGTTCGATTGTCCACATGGGTGCAATGTGTGAAGGCCATTTCTGATGTCCCCCCGCCGTGATATTGCTAGAATATTGCTGAAAGCGGCGTAACACTAAACTCACTAACTCACTGTAACCTCACAAATATCTTTAGGAAATTTATAACATGAAATCAATATTATATAAATGATGTCTACCTGGGCAAAGACAGTAAAGATTTCTGCCAGGCCACCATTACTGATCCAGATCTTGCTGCCATTGAGAATATAGTGTTTGCCATCTGCAGTGGGCACAGCTCTCGTCTTGATGGACTGAAACATACAATGTATATGATGTATGCAATTTTAGTAAAATCTAAATATTTTTTATATTTGTATACTTATCCTGCACTACTTACTTCATGCACTTATTGCTTACGACACGAAACATGGCTGTGCCAGACGATTGATGTTGAAAGCGTAGACTGTGATCACTTCCTGGTCTCGGGTAAACATCCGTCTGTGCATGCATCACCGGAAGGTGACGTCAGCCACCTCTGATTATTGCCATAAATCCCACAGATGAAAACAAAGGTGGGAGGTAGCTGAAAGCGCAGGGTGGGCCCTTATCATAAGTAGTGCAGGATAAGTATACAAATATAAAAGATATTTAGATTTTACTATATTTTTAACTAATCCTGCACTACTTACTTCCTGCACATTTATCGGACAGGCAGGATGGAGGGTGTGTCATCTGTGGGGATTGCCTCGCAAGGTAAACAAAGACAGCTTGGTCAATGTTATCAAGTGCGCCTCGGTGGTGGAAAACCGTCGTCGCACCTAGATCAGACAGCGAGTGACAATCAGGCAGTGGTAATAGGCATATAAGACACGTAGTCTTAAATGGAATATACCAGACGATTTTGAAAGCGTTGTTAGCTTTAGGGAAATGTAGTAAAAAGCAGCGACTCGGGTTAACCCAAGCGTTACTCCTTAACTGACACACCCATTTGTTCTCCTGGAACAACTCTTTTCCCATACGGCGTCGGCGTGCTTCATGGGAACAAAAAAGCATGGTGGAAGGTATCTTCATTGCACCTGGCAGAATAGTCAACAGACAGTGACTATCGCTCAGTGGTAATTCGCATATAAGACATGTAGGCTTAAATGAAAAAGACCACGCGATTATTAAAGCGAGATTAGCTTTAGGGAAATGCAGTAAAAAGCAGTGACTTGAGTTTTTGAAGTGTTGCTCCTTAAGTAACACACCCAGTTGTTTCCCTCGAAACAACTCTTTTCCCACACAGCGACATCATGCCTCGTGGGAAGAAATATCATGAACGAAGACACCTTCGATCGTGGAATCTGGAAGACTGGTCGACAGAGAGCCTCAGAGGGATTACATCTCAGTGGTCATTCGCATATAAGCCATGTACGCTTAAATGGAAAAGGACACACGATTTTTAAAGCGTTATCAGCTTTAGGGAATGAAGTAAGAAGCATGGACCTGAGTCTATCCAAGTGTTACTCCTTAACTGACATACCAAGTTGTTTTGTTCAAAACAACTCATTCCCCACACGACATCCCCACACGACATCGTCGTGCTTCATTGCGAACAACAATGTAGGATGTGATATCCTTAGGGTATTGTCGAGGTGCTGGTCTGGCACCAATGGTCCGAAGCGTTGGAGTCATATGGTGTGGATACTGATTGGGGAAGACTGTGTCTGACTTCTAGAAACACTCTTGCATTATCGATGCCACTGTACAGTTACAGTGAAGAGCCATAGTAGAGGCCAGCCGCATTATACGCATGAATGAAGGAAGTCCTTATCCACAAAACACTCAGGGTTTTGTTTACATGCCTCTGACGGCTTTAGGTCGCTTAACGTACAAACTGAGTACACCAGCTGAACACAGGAATGTCTTCACGCCGACAACAGACAATAAGGGCAAAATAGAGCACCATTGATCATTTCGCCCTAGCTGGCAACGAGTGTGTAGTGATGAAATCCCCATAAAATACCCAGAGGTACAGAACCATGACTGCGTCGTTCAAACTGGATCCAATTAACACCAAGCGCACCAAACGCATGACCCTTGTCGCTATTGTGTGCAAGTCTGCTATGTTCGCTGAAAAAGCCGGTACAACAACGCTGGAGGGAGTCCAGGACCATGTTGAGAGTCCTAGGGGTGGTTGAAAAGCCGACAAGACGCTGGAGTGGCAGCTGAGTATGATGGTATAGGCGTTGGATCAGGCGAGTTTATACAGCTGGTAGTGCCATACAGGCGCTATATCTGGTAGAAAAAACGGACAGGCGCTGGAGTGAGTAGGCACCGTTTTATAGGCTCTATATCTGGTGGAACTGCCGGACAGGCGCTGGAGTGAGCAAGTGAGTATGGTGTTATAAGCGCCATACAAGCGCTGGATCTGGTGGAAATGCCATACAGGCTCTGGAGTGAGTAAGTATGGTTTACAGGCACCGTACAGGCACTGGATCAGGAAGACCATAAATTTGCTGTAGTCAGGACCGAAGTTGGAACAGGTAGGTATGGCGACGGAGATGCCGACACCAACTGCTGAACGCCGAGGTCGTAGACGATGTGGTAGATGCGCCGTACAGGCGCTGCAGTCCCTGCTAACTAAGTCAAGTGTGGAATGGAATGTCGAAACATCCAGTGACTGCTGAGCATGCGGCGCATGGGTCTTAGGCGTCAGGAGTATGACGCCTGCCATGGAAACTCTGAAAACAGCAACCTGGAGAATGGAGACGGAGCGCCAGACGCCCAGGAGTTAGTGGACATCAGTGGTGTGACAAGTATCTGGGTGCTTGCCATAGGCGACGTCGGTGTTGGACCTCGCGCTTCATAGACGGAAAATAGGTGTTAAGATGATATATTAAGAAAGCGCAACAAGCACATTCATTCATGTGAAAAACGGGGAAAAACACGGAAAAGTGCAATTCAAACAGTATGAATGAAGGCACTTATGAGATACCCCTTACAAACTATACAGCGTGTGCCGTATAGAAACTGCAACATAGCAGAAACCCCCAGCAAACACACGGTGAAAAACATTACAATAGTAATGAGGAACAGACGGAGAAACAGCATAATTGAGAACAAGCGTCTCACAAATACTGACAAAAACTGGAGACCAGAATTAAGGCTTAATATACGATAATAGTATAACAAATAAGCATGAGCCAAGAACAAGCCACTATGAATACATCGGGCTTCACGTGGTTCTGAATGGCCTAAGTGACCGATAATAGTGCGATGAAAAACTATGGTGTTTAACACAAAACACCATCACTATAACAGTACTACATAAAAGAAACAGAAGGGTAATACCTACACCCTCTGAGAACACAAAGGAAAACATCCAAAAGTCGGCTTTATTATCAATAAACACAATACATAGGATACAAATCAGTCAAGCTGGCAAAACCACACGCCTCGCGAGGCGCGGTGAAAAGCAATAATCTGAGGTGGCTGACGTCAACTTCCGGTCATGTGTGCGCAGACGGATGTTTACCAGAAGTGATCACAGTCTACGCTTTCAAAATCAATCGCCTGGCACAGCCACGTTTCGAGTCGTAAGCAATAAGTGCAGGAAGTAAGAAGTGCAGGATTAGTTAAAAATTAAATGACTTTCATGATACACTGCCAATTTCTTATAACAGCAAAAGCAACAAGTGCATATTCATTATACAGGTCAAAGAAACAGTGTTCACTAGATTTTCTTTCTCAGCTCCCCGGGGAGTATTCAACCCAGGCTGCCTGTAATGTTCAACCAAAACAATGCTCAAAGCGCATCATTATTATACTGGTCCAGGCTGCCTTTTTTAGGTGCTGGAAGGCCGACAGTCACATTACATCTTACTTATGGTGGGGTAGCCTAGTGGTTAAAGCGTTTGCTCATCATGATGAAGACCCTGGTTCGATTCCCCACATGGATACAATGTGTGAAGCCCATTTCCATTTCCCCCACCGTGATATTGCTGGAATATTGCTAAAAGTGGCAGAAAACCCAACTCACTCACTCACTTATGGGTTTCAAACAGTTACTGACCAAAGTAACACCATAAATACTATAACGTGTTTCAGTGTGGAAAATTGACCCTCAGTTGGGAGTAATGTTGCCATGGCTACTCACACTGGCATCGGATCCACTGGCTGGCTCCGTCAGACAGAAGGCTGCTACCGTCTCCCCTGATGCTAACTTTGGCAGGTACTTCTTTTTCTGTTCTGGGTTGCCGAACAACAGAATACCTTTGAACCCAATAGACTGAAAACAACAGAAACAGTTGATGTACTAGGTTGTCATGGATACCAATAGATTGAACACTGAGAGAGATGATAAACTAGGTTGTCTTGGGTATCTACAAATTGAAAACAGAGACAATTGATAGAAAGGTTGCCATGGATACCAACAGATTGAAAACAGAAATACTTAATGAACTAGGTTGTCATCACTACCAACAGATGGAAAACAGAGACAGCTGATGAACCATGTTGTCCTGGATACCAACAGATAGAAAACAACAGAAACACTTGATAAACTAGGTTGCCATGGATACCAACAGATTGAAAACTGAGCCAGGTTGTCATGGACACCACATTAAATGCTTTCCTCACATGGCATAAATTAAACCTATGCAAATAAAAATTTCAGTTTCAAATGTTCTGCTATATTTCTCTCCAGCTATTCAACAGCATGTACATAATCAAGTCAGAAAGAATCAAACTAGTAACTGATGTCATGAGCAACAACCCACACCACTGAGTCATCAAAGTGACCATTTCCAGAGGGAGTAGTTTCCCTTTGGGATTCATCAGCTTGTTAATTAACCACTGTCAACACGGTCATTTTATTATGAAAATATGTAAATAATTCTGACCTGATGTGCCCCGAGTGTGATGCCGACGCCCAGGTCATGTGCTCCGACTATCTCCACCAGGCGGGCATACTGTGTGTTACACAGTCCCAGCCCACCTGAAACAGTGAGTGAGTGAGTGAGTATGGGCGAGTGAGTATGGATGGGTGAGCGAGTATGGGCAAGTGAGTATGGGTGAGTGAGTGAGTATGGGTGAGTGAGTGAGTATGGGTGAGTGAGTGAGTATGGATGGGTGAGTGAGTATGAGTGAGAATGGGTGAGTGAGTGAGTGAGTATGGGCGAGTGAGTGAGTATGGGTGAGCGATTGAGTGAGTATGGGTGAGTGAGTGAGTATGGGTGAGTGAGTATGGGTGAGTGAGTGAGTAGGGTGGTTGAGTGAGTATGAGTGGTTGAGTGAGTATGGGTGGGTGAGTGAGTATGGGTGAGTGAGTGAGTATGGGTGAGTGAGTGAGTGAGTATGGGTGGGTGAGTGAGTATGGGTAAGTGAGTGCACTGGCTATCCTTCATTTGGGACAAAAAGAAACTTCACGTAACTATTATCTTTTAAACAGTCAATATATTCAAAGAAACTTGACTTACCATGGTCGACAGGAACTTGCAGTCCAAAGGCACCGAGTTCCTTCAAGCCCTCTAATGTTGGGTCGTCTACCTTCTCAATGGAGTCGTTCTTCAAGGCATCATTTACTTCCTGAGAATTAATACAAAATAAACTCCCATGATTTATACCTTGAATCGAAATATGAATTTGTCAGTAATATGAGTATAGTCCTCAAAATCAAAGATTTTAACTTACAATATTATTAGATTTTTAATAATGAAAGTGCAATTCAAATGGAAATTTCAATCACCTAAACAACCAAAATAGCTGCAAAATCAAGGCTTTCATCATCATCATCATCTCATCATCATCATCTTACGCCTCCGTGGTGTAGTGGTTAGAGCGTCCGCCCGGAGAGCGGAAAATCGCGGGTTCGATCCCCAACCGCGTCATACCAAAAGACGTTAAAATATGGTACTTGTTGGTCCCTGCCTGGCGCTCAGCATTACTGGGTACAACAAGGACTGGTCGGCTCGAGTCAGTATAATGTGTCTGAGTGGGGTATTCATGCTTCACTGCGGCATGGTATCTCAGTGGGCTATAGCACCAGCTTCAGTCTGGGCTAGTACAAGCAGCCGCACATACACATACACACGCATGCACGTCGTCATATGAGCGAAATATTCTCAAGCACGACATTAAACCCAATTTAACCTCACCTCACCTCATCATCTTACCTCAAAGAACTTTGCAGTTGGGTCTATCAACATTTGAAGGGTCTCCTGCTGTTCTGATGATAGCACTGTGAAAAACAAATTACAGCCATGGCTTGAACACATTCTTTTGGTGAGTAACATCGTCACCAAAAGTAATAGCCTGCTGAAATACCATCCCCGAGCTTCCGATTTCAGAACTCTAACCAGAAGCCTTCTCATAAACCTTTCTACTCATATCGTTTTATGAGGTTGCAGCATAGTATATTTATCCCAGTAGTGTCTTCAACAAACAAAGTATCTATGTAAATAGTATGTACTTTGAACATTATAACATCTTTTTCCACATTTGAATGCTAAATCCACTTGGATCCCTTCATTTGTACAATATATCAAAACAATGAATACGTACCCTCCGGGAATGGGAAGACTTGGTCCGTCTGGATCTTTCCCCGAAACAGGTTCATAGCAAAGGACTTGGACTCCTACAAACAAGCAAGAAAATGGTCTTAAAAATTTTGATCTTAAATTCCAACTACATTGGTGGCCTCTTGAAAACATGGATTTATGATTCTGACAGCCAAAGTGACCAAAGGATTCTTCATTCCAACTACAGTGAAACCTGCCAACACAGGCACCTGTCTAATCCGGCAGAATGTCAAAACCGGCATAAAATTTTGGTCCCGCCATTTTAAATGATATTATGATCATTAAAACATTGTCTAATCCGGCACCTGTCTATTCTGTATTCCAGCACGATTCTCCAGTCCCAATAAGAAATTTAGCTGTAATTAATGCTAGGTTCACACTGTCGTACGATTCGTTACGAATGCCACAATTGGCCATTCGTAGCGGATCGTGGAACTTCTCTGAAATTTCTGGTTTGGATACAAGGTGATGCAAGTCGATACGTTTTGATACGATTTGTTGCGCTTTCATGCGCTATTGTCACGATCTGATCTCCCGTTCAGATACAATAACATACGTTGTGATAGGATTGTCCCTATCGACTCCACGATTGGGTCACGATCTGACACGATCATCACGATCAGGGTCTCCGATTTGGGACGATGTGGTACGTGCAGGTAAGCTCCAATACGTTCATCACAAACCGATGCACTCTGTTGCAATAGGTGCATGTGAATGAAGGTGCATGTGTCAATCAAAGTGACATAGACGACTTTAAGTCCGGGGCTTTCTAGTTTGATTGATGGGTACTCACCTGAGGACGTTTTCAATTGTGACGAAACGGGGCTTGTGTTAAGAATACAGAATAATTATCTGTCATCAACATTGTTTTAATTTGTTGTACAATTACAAAAGATCAAAGGCATAAATAAAGAAACTGACGAGTGTAAATGGCAGCCATGTTGGAACATGATCCTCACTGTCTAATCCGGCACCCTGTTATTTGGTTTAGACAGGTTTCACTGTACAGTGCTGGCCCGTTGATATTCAACGTTTCAACTGCAGTGGTAGTCTTAAGAAATGTGGATTCCAATTAATAAAGTCAAATTTTTGTGTACTTAGGATATGACATACAAACTGAATGACTTTGTATGCCCTGTGTACCATTATAATTGTATCGTGAGTGAGCAGCTGATTCCTGGCACCGGATGTTCCACCAGGCAGAGGGGTAGTTTAGTAGTTTAAGCATTTGTTTGTCATGCCGAAGACCTGGGTTCACTTCCCCACAGGGTACTATGTGTGAAGCCAATTTCTGGTGTCCCCCGCCGTGATATTGCTGGAATATTGCGAAAAGCGGCGTAAAAACAAACTCACTAACACACTAGTGTTTTACCATAACTATACGCAGCAATCGAAACAGCTACTGGACCGCTAGCCAAATGCTAGCCCATTGTGAATCAGGCCAGCAATAAATTGTTAAAGCTATCCTGACTGGCAAGCTGAAAATCACAGATAATTTGTTCTTGTTTTAATGCACATAAATATGATGAAGTCAATTATTAAGGTGTTAAAAGTCCGTCCACAAAAGTTATGTGATACTTATTATCACTTGTACACCAACCAGGGCTTTTGATTTAAAGAAATGAAACCTACTTGCACCTAGTGCAACCTTAGGTAGAAACCATTGTTTCATCAGATAAAAATTGGTGCAGGTTGCACCTGCTGCTCAGTATAAAATCTTGTATAAAAATATGATGCTTGAGTTTGTCTTTTTCATTATTTATTGACGTATGATTTAAAGAAATGAAACCTTTAGAACATTATAAAACAAAAGAAATCTGGGACAGATAAGATTAGTTATCTTACTTCCTAAAATGTCATGAACAGTAAGTCCTTCAGTCACTGCTCATACAGTCATCAGAGTCAGAGTCACTCTTCCAAGTCAGTTCCTCATCATTCTGTTTTCCAGCTGAAGTCTCAAAATTGACTTGCACCTGGTGCAAGTTAGACCAGTGCAAGTAACTAGGTTGCACTTTGTAATTATTGGAGGTTATTATTAAACATATCAGCATGAGCAGTGCAAGTAACAAACAGCACTAAATCGAGCCCTTCAGTTTCAGTGTTTCTATACGTGATTGGATATTCAGAAACAGTGTTTCCACTGACTTAATTATTTATCGGACACTGTGTCTGGCGACCTAAAATTTTACCCGCCATGAATGAAATTTGCTGGTCATATGTTATTACCATACTGCAAGTACTCATTTTAAAGTTATTTTCAGTCTGCACATTTCCAAAACATAACAATTTTTGTGATCATGAAAGCACAGCCAAGACTGTCATTTCGCTTACCGATTTTCAGGTATATACCGGAGGACTAAACACTGAGAAAGACGACAGAAGCGTTTTATTCCTTACATTTCCGGGTACTCGATTCCGATTCGGGTAAGTACATGCGGGTACGTGATTCCATTTTTTCCTACCCGTCCCAGCCCTACAGGGAATCAAACTGTGTCCCTTCATTAATTCAATTTGTTCTTTTTGAATATTTATAAAGTTTTAACAAAAGAATGTCACTGCTTGAGTTCAAGGTTATCCAAACGAGATATGCAAAACAAACTATCTAAGCCAGGCAGGACAATAGACAACACTCTCATATATTTAATTTGACAGCAGTGTCGTTACCTGTGTTATTGTCAATAAATATTTTATCAATCAATCTTTAGTTTCAGTACTGAGGAGCCTATAGTACATTTCATATATACAAATTTCTTATTGACATGGCTTGATAAATGAAAACAGCAACATTTTTAATTACACTTTCATTTTAAGAATTCAATAGAGACGAAAATTTATCAATTGATGGATGGACAAAACAGAGTTCTTTAATATATTTTTTATGTATAGTATTATGCTGGGCATAGTAGAAGAAAATGATATTCGTCTTCTATAAGGGTATTATTACAACATCTACATAATCTATCCTCTCTTTTGATATTCATAAACCTACCTTTTTCAATTAATAAATCATGAGATGAACAATGGAAACGAGCTAAAGCTTTTCTATATTTTATAACATTAACACATGATAAATAATGTTCAGTATAAATGTGTGTTTTAAAGATTGAATAATAATTACATTTTGTAGCTAATGAAATTGTTTCCCACCATTTCGGCTGGTAAATATCTTTTAATCTTTGAGTGAATGCATTTAGAAACAATGACGAACATTCAACGTTTTGTTCATACCATAAATGATTAAATCCTGTAGAAAATAGTAGGTGTTTAACATGTGTTGTCCAATTCTTTTTACCTTCTTTGTCATATAGTAACATCATATTATAGCATTTTTTGTGTAAACGGTAGGATGGCATACTTAATAACCTTATCCAATATTTAATAGCCCTGATTTGTGAAGATATGATTAGCGGGTATCTGCCACATTCCCCATATACCGTAACATTTGATGTGCTCATCTTTACCCCAAGAAATTTCTTGCAAGCAAATAAATGTACCTTTTCTATGGAATCAAAGTATTTAAATCCCCATATTTCCACACCATACAGTAGAATTGGTTTGATTTTAACATCAAATATTCTAAAAAAGAATGTTAAATTTAAATCCCCAAGTATTTTTATATTTCTCAATATACCTATGAATACCCTTTGTGCTTGAGTAGATGCATATTTTGCATGTGCCAGCCATGAAAGATGATTAGTGAAGTATACACCAAGGTATTTATATGAAGTGGTAGTCTCTATAGTACTGCCTTTATAAAACCATTTTTCCTTTTTTGATAACTTCACCCCTTTTTTAAAAACAACTACTGTAAATCAACAAACTAATGCGTGTATTAAATAATGCGAGTGCAAACCTCAAAACGAAAATGCGTGCATTTATTAACGCGAGGAGGCAAATCAGGAAATGGTTCACCAGAATGACTATACTCACTAATGACTACACTCACAACTTTGGGAAATACTATACTAGTATTTAATCCGACTCTAGTGTAAACATCTTAAATTACATTTGTGACGTCATTCCATTGTCTGTTCGCTCCATTACTTTTCAGGAATGGAGCGATGTGTACCAGTTTCAAAATAAAACCTTCATTTTGTCATTTTGACATTTAATTTTGATAACAGAAATATTCCCAATACTTCAAATGTAATTTAAGTAGGGTCATGTCCGAGTAACTCTCCATTCCTTAAAAATAATGTGCTTCGGCCCCTCCGGGGCCTCGGCTCCATTATTTTTAAGGAATGGAGAGTTACTCGGACATTACCCTCTACTTAATTCCCCGAACACATGGGCATTTGGATCAAAGACGGCTTTCCTTTCAACTGTTAGTATTAGTAATTGACAGTAGACAGGATGATCTCAGTTTGTAATCTCAAGACAAAAGACGATGACAAACGTGTTGATTTGAGATTAGCGCCATGAAACCTGTTCATGCTCGCTGGATGCAGAGAGCAATTGAAAAGGTAGGCAGAAATCGTGAGGTAATCTTACGTGGATGGCAGTTGGCAGGTCTGCTGGACGTGGTCCAGTGAGTTCAAACCATGTCTGACTGACTGAGTTTAGTTTTTACGCCGCTTTTAGCAATATTCCAGCAATATCACGGCTGGGGACACCAGAAATGGGCTTAACACATTGTGCCCATGTGGGGAATCGAACCCCGGGTCTTCGGCGTGACGAGCCAACGCTTTAACCACTAGGCTACCCCACCGCCCTCAAACCATGTAAACTAGACTGTTTATTCAAAGACTGTAATACAACTTAAATGATTAGTGCTCAATCTTTCTTCCCCAGAATGTATTTTACTTGTTAATATAATGTCGATGTTATTCTGTCAATAAAGGAATTTTTGTGAATCAATCGTTCGTCTTTGTTCACTGGGTTATCGTGACCCAGATACTAGTAATAACAATATCGAGTGCAAAAGACAATATAATAATGCGAGATTTATTAATGCGCTTCAGATATAGTCGCATTTTTCGCATTAATAAGTAGCTCGCATTATTTTATTGATTTACAGTACTTTCGTTTTATCCATATTTACATTTAGGCAGATTTT